TTACATAGAATATTTGTTTTCAAAGAAGCCACACTCATGCGTCCTCTCGGAAATGGTACAAAAGTCATCAAATAAAAGCTGTGGAGTCAACAGCTGTGGAGTTTATGGTGGTTGGCTACCGTCCACAAATTTAAATATGCACTCTGCATGGCGTTTTACAATGGCGAGTCCAAAAATTCACTTTGCTGCACATTTTCCTTTTGGTCTACATAAAATTGCAAACACTGTTAATACATCCATTTTTTCATGTGCTAAAAATCGTACTTACCTAAAGGGCTACATGTCCAAAATTATTGCTACGTGTTCCTAATTAATCAATCTTTGTATATTTATTGATTCCTGCAAAATTGGGCCATGTAATATTAAAATTAACACATTATTCTGCATTGTTTACATATTTTTATATGCATTTTGGCATTTCTCTCTCGCAATTGCACCAAGATGACGTCACGCAAAAATTACGCTCAAAAATCCTCTCTCATTGGCGCAATCTTGCATTCTATCATTCTTGGCTCACAAGCATGAATATGTTCCACTCTCAAACCAAATCGTGGTTGCCTCAACTAAGATTTGGTAACTATGACTAAACCATGTGTTGAAAGAAAGCTTATCTGTATTAGCAGAGCTTAATAACATCCTTTTATGAACCATACGTTAAGTTTAATGAAATTTGTAGAAATATGCTTCAAAGAAATATTTATTAGTATTAACCAAACCCTTCAACTAAATTAACGATTTGGTACAACCCAGATGAATATTAGAAGCTTTAATATATTTAGTTATAATTACCAACCCATGGTAATAGTTCCCAATCCTTGGTCACAGTTCCCAAATATTGTCAAAATTCGGGAACTAAATATCTTTAGTTGTCGAAACCAATCCTTTTTCTCAGTGCATGGCGCTAAAACGCCCAAAATTAAATTTAAAGAATCTAAAAAATATTCTTCCCAAAAAATTTCCTGTCGTATAATATATGTACGTATAAAACTAAAGTCTTTTTCAGTCTCTTTCTCTGGTGACACAAATTCCAATTAACTGATGAATTAATTTGAATTCGATTTTTCAAACAGAGGTCAGATATAAAGCCTTTTCAAACACATTTCGATTGATATCTATCTCTTGATAATTTCAATGTAACTTCTTAAACAGGTGCAACTTTTTTACAACATTATGAATGTTCCCGGAATTGACACCCGTATTTTAATATTTCATATAATTTGTATATAAGTAAATCAAATTCGACTTTTCCAGCAGGCGGCAACCCTCGTAAAAAGTATTTTCAAGCTAAAATATTCCTAAATTTCCTTCGCCTAACATGGTGATGAATATTTTATTTTGGCACCCGTATTTCAAATAAATTTCTAAGCTAATTAAATTCGACTTTTTAAACATGTGGCAGCCCTCTTCAGATGTGGTTTCAAGCTATAATCTTCTTAAATTACCCTCGAATGACATTGTGGTACATACTTTAATTAACTGATAAATTAAGTTGAATTTGATTTTTTAAACATGTGGCAACCCCTTAAATATAGTTCAGAAATAAAGCCTTGTCAAACCCATTTTGATTGATACCAATATTTTAATCACTTACTTAGCTTATTAAATAATTTAAATTTAACTTTTTAAATAGATTGCATCCCTCTGTAAACACCTTAAAAATATTGTTAGTGTTGAAACTAAAGATTTCTTAACATTCTTCTGTTTGACATGTTTTAATATTTTGTTGTGTATAAGTTAACTGAAATCGACTTTTG